CCCCGCCCCGCCCCACCTCCATAGGACGAACTCCAGTACAAGAGACCTCCATCCTCTGGACCAGCACCACCGCTCATCCTAATCCTGCCTCCTGTTTATGCTTCTCCATCTGCAGATTGGGCCCGCCCGCAGTTCTGACGCCCGTTTTCGACTACGGGGAGGTCTGCCAACCCCCGCCCGCACGGAGGCCCCGCACGCCGGGCAACATGAAGCAGCTCGTGAGTACGTTCGCGTTGTGCTGGCGCGGTGTATCGAGGGCGCGCAACCCCCTGCGGCAGCTGAAGAAAGCCGGCAATAAACAACGCGGTCGGCTGTCGCGCAACTGTCGCCCAGGGGAGGAGCTGGCTCCGGGCACCGCGATGGAGGACACCGCCGCCGCCGCCGTCGTCATGCGGCGAACATGTGCGCCCCATGTCGCCAGACACCTCTTCTTCTCGCGTGTTTTCTCTTAAAAATTCACAAAACCGGAGCTAGATGGATGAGACGGGGACGCGGGGAGTTCAAGGTCGGCGCGACTGACAACCACTCTCCGACGCCTCCCGACAAAGATGTGGTGGTTGCGTGCGCGCGCGCGCTCAGGAGTGGAGCCAGGTCGGCGGGGTCCAGTCGGGTCTCGGCGGGCTCCACGGCGGACAGGACAGGGGTGGGGGAGACACATCGCGTCTGATACGCAGTTAGGTAGTCTGCCTCCACGGGGAGATGATGAGTCTCCCCGTCTTTTGAATGGATCGCATTCCACCCGCCACAACTGCAGAACAACGCCACTATCCAGAGCGTTTTAAGTTTTCTCCATCGATCAGGCGAAGCAGTTGCGGCGACGTGTAGCTGTAGCTGGACCGACCCGCAGCTGTGTGGATCGCGTGGTCCGAAATATAATCTAAATTGGGTGAAGGCCGTCCGTGGGGTCCCATCCCGGAGCCAGCCCGGCCGGCTACCGAACGAGCAGCGTTCGGGCCGCTCCGGCGGCAGCTCCCAGGAAGACCGGCCACGCCCCGCCACACCCCGCTCCGCCCCGCCACGCCACCCGTCCCCCCCGAAACGTGCAATTATCACATCGCTGTCCCGCGAGACGCCCCGAGAGGGTTGCCCAACCCCCTGGAGGCCAGTGCGCCGGCACTCCCCACGTTGTCGTTGATTGTTTTTTAAGGCATTCTCCAAGACTGTCTCTACCAGAATGCAAAGTGCCCACTCCCGCCCGTCTCTCTCCATATCTAGCACCACAGGGCCACACCGGGCGCTGTTTGTTTTCGCGATCTCGGTAAATTCCGATTCCCGTCCGCACGCAGCCGCCGCAGGGAACGCAAACGCGCGAGGCGACGGTAGCGCGGCCCGCGGCCCGAGTCGAGGGAAGTCCGCGGCGGTCCCCGCTCGGCGCGACACCCACGTGGCCGTCATGCGGGCCGTGGACGGGGCGCTCTTGGCCTTGCGGTCCAAAGGGGCGGGGGCGGGCGCAGGGCAGCCACGGGAGGGGAAGAGGGGGGGGAGGGGATCCGTGGGCCGCTCGCACAAGAGGAGGCGAGC